ACTTATAGAAAGCTTGGAAAATAATGGTGAATAAGAAGTCTATAAAGAAGAGAAGCGGTCAGTTCTTGGAAGTAATACGTTGCACATTGCACATTACCTATAAATCTTGAACGCTACCAAATCTTCAATGAATTGAACAAAAGAACTGCAGCACTTATGACAGAAGACAATTGTTTCGTTTATGCTTGCATTCAGGCTGGAGTAAATGAAGAAACTATTGACCACATGAGAGAAGTCATTCGTGTTAGAGACTTTCCTCAAAGTAAAGTACAAGAAATTTCTGACGCAACAGGTATAGCATTTAATGTTACCATTGGTTACTTCAATGACTCAAGACATAATGAAATAAAGAGATACATACCAAAAGAATGTGAAACTGTTCGAACTATTGACTTACTTCTTGTTGAAGACCACTACATGCTAAATGAAAGATTACCAATGACAACATATTTCATTCGCAACTATATAGAAATCTTGAAGGAGTGTGGTGGAATGAACATTGAGAAACAGATGAAGATTTATACAAAGAGAGAGAACAAAATATGTAGTTCGTTATGATAGAACAACACCGTTATGGGATGTTATGAAAACATTGTGGGAGTGCAAATATTTCGAACCTATTTCTTATGGAGAACTTTTCACATATACGACTGACTTATATAAACAGAACCTTGCACCATTTAAAGATTTGACATATGCTCCAAAGTATTGTGTACAACTGAAGAAGAAAGCCGAGTCAAAAGAAGTAAATAAAAAAAGTGCAAGTTCATTCCTGAGCACGTTTTCTTTGCTGACTTTGAGTGTAGCACAGATGGCTTTCATAAAGCCTTTAACATCTGTTATGACAGTGAAGATGGTTCAGTGAGTCAAAGCATTTGGGGTCAGAACTGTGCAACAGAATTTTTGGAACGACTTCCTGACAAGAGTTTAATATATTTCCATAACCTCAGTTATGATATAAACTTCATCTTAAGACACATGACAGAAGTGAAAGGAACTCCCATCATTAAAGGTTCACGAACAATGCAAATAACTGGCTTATATAAAGGAAGGGCAATTATTATAAAAGACTCTTACAGTGTTATAAATAAGAAGCTTAAACTATTTCCTGCTATGTTTAACTTACAAACAGGACCGAAAGAAGTATTTCCATACAACTACTACAGCAGTGTTTTGTTAGCAAATGACAACAGAACTGGTGTCATTTCTGAAGCATGTAAGTTTATCCAGGATGCGGATACGTTCATGAAAAACATAGATTCCATCAAAGGTTGCAGAATAGATGAAACCACTTCGACTTAGAAAAGTATAGCACATTTTATTGCAAACAAGATGTAAGAATTTTAAGAGAAGGTTTTGTTAAGTTCCGCAATGATATTGAAAGAATTTGATTTAAACGTTTATGACTACGTTAGTATTTGTTCAATTGCTAACAAATTGTTTGAGAACAGAGTGTACTTCCCGAATGGAAATTTATATGACCTCTCAAATAAACCAAGAGAATTTATTTCACGCTGTATTCAAGGTGGAAGATGTATGCTGTCAGATAACATGAAACAAAAGAGCGAAAAGAAACTCATTGCTGATTTCGACGCTGTTTCATTATATCCATCAGCTATAGCAAGACTTTATACTTTAGAAGGTATTCCAAAGGTTATGAAGAAAGAAATGTTAAGCACAGAGTATCTCATGAGACATTTATTCGATGACGACCAAAAGGAACCCATTGGTGAAAAGTTTATGTCTGGCTTCTTTGTTCTCATTAAGATAACAGAGATTGGAATACATAGACACTTTCCTTTAATAGTTTGTGACCCTGAACTAAATCCAGAACTTAACGTTCCCAGAAGTTCAAACACTTGCTGTTTAATGTATGTTGACCATATAACATTACAAGACCTCATAAAATATCAAGGTGTCAAATGTGAAGTGTTGCAAGGATACTATTACGATGGAAACAGAGATATTAGAATAAGAGATGAAGTAAAGAAGTTGTTTGAGTTAAGGTTAAAGTATAAGAAAGAAGGAAATCCTTTGCAAGAAAATATAAAGCTCATTCTGAACAGTATTTATGGCAAAACTATTCTATCTCCTATTGAGTCAAAAATAACCATAGTAAATGACAAAGATGCTATAAGATATGCCATCAGAAACTACAACCATATAGTGAAGTTCGAAGGTTTGGATGGTTCAGATAAAACTATTTTCAAGCTAACGAAAAGCATTTGCAGACACTTTAACTTCTGTCCACTTGGTGTTAATATTCTGTCAATGTCGAAGAGAATAATGAACGAAGTATTTTGCACTGCTGAGGATATGGGCCTTCAAATATTTTACCAGGACTGTGATAGCATGCATATTTTCAATGAAGACATACCAAAGCTTGCAGCAGAGTTTAAGAAGAGATACGGTCGCGAACTTATAGGAAAGAACCTTGGTCAATTTCATTCTGACTTCGCAGAAATAACACCTGGAAAACAAAGTTTAGCATACAAGTCAATATTTTGTGGAAAGAAGACCTACATAGACTTACTCACTAACGATTTAAATGAAGTTGCATTCCATGCACGTTGCAAAGGTATCAAACAAGACGTCCTTGCTTTAACAGCAAATGAAATGTTTCCTGAAGCTATACAATGCTATTACAATGAAGATAAGAACATTCACATACCTGTTGGAACATATGACAAAGACTCTGAGTTCAGTTTAATGAAACTTTACAAAGCACTTCATGATGGTCAAGAGATTGGATTTGACTTATGTAAGTCATGTCAACCTTGCTTTGCTGAAAAGTTTAACTTCTCAATAACGACTAAAACAAGCTTTATTCGTAAGTTGAAGTTCTGAGGTCATTTATTTTTGTCAGCAATGAGGTCATTCGTGATAAAAATAAGCCGCTAGCGGTGAGGGCGAAGCCCATGAGGTCATATATTTTTCTCATTTATGTATAACCATTGTCTCTCTTAAACTTTGCAATAGACAGCTTTGTTCTTCTTCCTTCTACATCTGTAATGTTTATATAATCTTTGTTATACTGTCTTAAGACATTCATTCGTCTGTATTGAGTTCCCATGAAATAGTAAAAGGCATCTTCACTTGGGACATAGTAGTAGTTCTCTAACGTGTGATATGAGTATTGTATAATTTCAACAGCGTCTTCAGGAAGAGAGTTAACAATGTCAAACCAATAGCCATTTGAACCAGAAATATTTCTCATGTTTTCTCTTCTTGTCGTCCATCTTAAGTTCGAGATATGAAAGTCTCCTCTGTCTTTGTTTATATGGTCTACTTCACGAAGTCCTTCAGGGTTCGGAATGAAAGTTTCTGCAACTATTCTATGTTTCATCAGCTTGTGTTTGTTTAAATTTACACAAATATAACCATCTCCTTGGTCAAACTCACTAACAACTCTTTTATTGCTTATACGTCTAATTGGATAAGGGTACTCTGAAAAGATTTCATAGTCATTGTCATGTTCGAGTGTTTGCCAATGCCCTTCACCTTCCATGCCTTTCACTCAAATAAAATTTTCAGAAAAAAATAAAACTAGCGTAGATTTTACAATACTGCGATGGTAGAGTTTAAGAGTTGTGCTTCAATGTAGAGACAGTCCTTATGGTCTGGAGGTAAGAACACTGGGCAGTTATGGTCATGAATGGAGAACATGTCTATCCAAAACTCACGATTGAAGCCAGTTAATTTATAGTATTTAGGGTTAGGAAGTGGTGAAGTTCTTGTATGACCAATGAACTCATTTTCAACTCCCTTACTTAAGTTTGAATATAATATAGCTTGCTTTCTATCCCAAATGCCAGGTGTTACAATCTTTGAAAATTCATTTTTCCTCGGAAGCATTGCATCATAATTGAAAACATTCTTGAAATCATCACTTGGTTCAGAGATTTGAAATCTTATACGTAATGGATTTTCTTTCTCTTTAGCGACTTCATTGAATGGTGAGAATACAACAAACTGACAGTCATGTGTTCCATCTTCATTTTCATTAAATTCATAATGAAAGTCTATAAGTTGTGGCCGACTACCTTCTTCTTTCAGTTGTGCAAGAAACTCACGTAAAGGCTGTAAAGTTTGTACTTCAATGTTGAACTTTTTCTCGAACATCTCATTAAATGAAATCATACATTGTTGCAATGTTGTATCGTCTTTAAAGTATTTGTATATGTGAATGTTTTGGGCGCTTAAAGACTGTTCGTCATTTTCTATCTCGACTTAAAGTATAAAGTCAACCTTTCTGAAAGCACGTGTTATATACATATTTGTTATGCCAATGTACTTCTCTTCATTTATGTTCACAATCCAGTCTGTTGGAAACTTAAAAGTTACTCTGTTCCCCTTTATTTTGACGTCAGGGTTTTCACTACTGAACGCAACAGATAAAGGTATTTGTCTATACATTTAATTCGGATAAAAATAAACCATTTACTCTTTCTTTGCTTCAGCTTCTTTAGCTTCTTCTCTAGCTTTTTTCGCCAGTAGTCTTGGGTTCTTTTGTCTTCCAGCAGCTAATGCAGCAAGTTGTTTTTCACTAAGTTTTCTCTTTGGTCTCTCTGGCTTTTGTTCTTGTTTTTGTTCCTTCAGTTCGGATAAAATTTGCTCACGAATTTCTTTCTTCAATGCTTCAACATCTATGACCCCTTGGGTCTTGTCCGTAGGGCTTGTCTGAGTCATTTGACTGCAGATAAAAAACAAAATTAAAACTTTAACCGATGTAAAATGAGCTTGTCAAAATCAGAGCGAGAGTCTATTATATTAAATGACGCAAGAGAATACAACATCCTTTCTATTACGTAAGTCAGAGTAAAGATGGTAAATATACGTAAGAAAAAGAAAGGTTCCATTAGCGAATGCAGAAAGCGACAGTATTAAGGTGCATGGCACCGAGGGCGAAGCCCATGTTAAACCTTCTATTCAAACTGAAAAGTCAATAGAACCAGAAGAAAAGAAGCCAGATGTACTTTCAATAACGAACCAAGAGCTTATTGCAAAGTTCGTGAATTTCATTGAAAAACAAACCGAGTCAAAGAATCCTGACCCGCCAGTGAAAGAAGTTGAGACAAAAGAGAATGTACAGTTCATTGCAAATGTCAAGAAACAACTTCCACCACGAATGCCAAGAAGAAGAGTGAGAATAATGAAGTAAATAGATATTTTTATCTGAAGTAAATACATGCAGAACGAACAGCTAAACGAATTTACTCCAGCAGAGCATATTCATCAGATTCGCTCATATTTCGATATCATAGACAATGCAGTTCAAATTGGTGACACTAATAGAAAATATTCTGACGCAAAGATTCCATCACAACCTGGAACTGCTAAAGATAACACATGGGTAACATTCAATCTCTCACCTCCTGGTGAAAATATGTTGGACCTTTACAATACATTCATTACGTATAAAATGGAAGGTCAATTTATTGTAGATAAAGAAATTGGTTCAGGTTCCAATAAAACAAACCCACCAGGATTTTGGATTGGTTTCGATGACGCTTTCTATGCAGTTGCTGGATATCAAATCCTTGCAAATGGTCGTATCGTATATTCTCAAGACAACGCAAAGAAGAAGCATATATAACTTCAAACTCACAAACTACCGAACAAATAAAGAAAGTAGATGTTTTCTCAAAGACTCGACATGAAGATGTATGGAGTCATTCGGGAACATGCAGAACAGGACAAATTGTTAGTGGTCCAATTACAGCAGGAAAATCATTTGATTTTAAGCTTCGTTTAAGAATTCCTGTTAGAAGATTCCTTCCATTAGAAGCTATTCGATTTATTCCAGCTTTTGCAGGAAACATTCAGCTTAAAGTAAAGTTCAGTAGCGACGCCTTACAATGCACATCTATATCTGTAAATGATATCATTGCTTTCAATCCAACTCTTAAAGTTGCATTTGCTTCAGATTCAAATCCACCGACAAATAAATTTGTTCCATGGAATGAACCATTCACTATGATAACGAAGGCAGTAGAAGCTAGTGGAACAGTTACTATTACAACTGTAACCCAGCAACTATTTCGAACAAAGATGGATTTTAATGAATGTTTCATTCATCCAAAGTCATTCTCTTTAGACCCTAACATTTATACAGAACTTGTAGAACATTATACAAACGAGGCTTTATGTTTTCCTGTTAAAGTTATGGATTGGATTCCTATGGACGGTTCATTCTCAAAGAATACAGATAGTTCAAGTGCAACATTTACAGCAGCTTATACGCCTATTAATGTTAAAAGTATTTGGGCACTATTTAGAAAGAAAGACAACTATTATGTTAATTTTGAGAACCCTAAGTTTAAATATCTTCGGCTTTCCATGGGAGCTTATGGAAATATGCCTGCAGAACCCGAAAAATCATATGGATCTGTATTTTATGAAATGGTTGCGAACGCCTGCAATACAAACAATGATATGATAGGATTTAATGAAGATGTTATGAGGTCATTGGTGGATGATGGTAGTGTGGAACATAAATGGGATAGCTATGACAACACACATTTCTTATGTGGTTTTCCAACAGAAGTGGACTTTTGCTTCCAGCAAGGTCAAACATCTACTGCTCCAATAACATACAAATTGTCTGTTAAAGGACCTATTGAACTAGCAACTGAAAATGTACCAAAGCCACTTATTGGATTTATGAGGGATTGTTGCTTTGCCATTCAGGTGCGTGCTAATGGCATCCCCATAATAAGATTAGATGACTATAACTTAGCTACGGACGACAGTGAGGAATAAAGGATGAACGTTTATTTTTAAAGCTTATAAATGAGTTCTTCATCAAGCTCTCGTGAACCTTCACCATCTATGAAACAAACTTTACCAAACGATTATGGAGCACCTATTGAATATTTCTTACGAGCTGCACAATGGCAAAGAGCAGTCTCACCAAGGTTAGGTATTCCACCAGCTCCTGTCAAAAATAGCATTTGGTCAAGTCCTTATATAAAATATGGTCTCCCACTAGGTTTGCTAGCTACAGCAGTAGCAGTTATGATGTTGAAAAGAAATAAAGCAAATGTTGTAAATAATACTGAAGTAGCTGAAGTTAAACAAACTCCAACACCTTCGCCAAAACCAACGCCTTCACAAACAACACCTTCAATGACTCCTGAACCTATGGAAATACAAACCCCTGTTCAAAAGTCAACTCCTAAACCGACTCCAACATTTAAACCAGAACCTACTCCTCAAATAAATCGTAAAACTCCTGCGTTTCCTTACTGAAAAAATAACGTTATTTTTATTTAATATTAAAATTTTTATTTGATTGAAATGACGACTAAAGTCACTGAAGCAATGAAACAAAAGTTTTTGGTAGAATACATTAAATCAGGAACTATTCCAGAAGGTTTTACATTCATACTATGAAGATGGTAGAGTTCAGTTTAGAAAGATAAAGCAACCATTAGATAGAGAAGGTATATTAAGGAAGATTAAACTTCATGAGGACAACATGCTGAACTTAAGAAGAAGTAAAGAGTTGAGAAAGGAAGATTATAAAGCAATGAATTCAACAGGGTGAAAACGGGTGAAAAAAGAGTGAGATTTCACCACTTCACCTAAATTTATTTTTTGTGCTATGTTTTCATACGTGTGGAGTGGTGATATCATTAATTTTTATATAAATGACGAAAAACTATTGAGATAACAAACTACAACGGTCATGAGTTCAAGAATTTGTTCTTCGTTCCTCGTGAAAATACATTCTATCAGATACGAGGGAAAAGGGTAAAGTTAGTTTGAGCGTTTATGAAGGAATGAAGAATGGAAAGTTTATACAAGCATACGATACAAACGGTAAACGTGTTTCATTACTTTGTCAAAACTTACTAACATTTATTTTGACAGTGACTTTGACTCTGACGATTGGAGCGACAGCAGCGATACTGAAGAATATGAACTATTGTGTGAAGCACAGCAATGGGAGGAGTTGCAATACTTTTGTAAGTGAGAACGTTTATTTTTTACAGTAGTGAAATCGTTTGTGAAAACGTTAGTGAAGGTGAAGTGGTTGGTGGCTTTATAAATATTATTTAAGGTTAAGTTGGTGTTTGTGTTTGTGTTGTAAAATATACGTTAACGGTTTTGTAAAGTGTCAAATTCACATATAATGGGTAAGGAGGCGCGCAGTGCCTCAGTACACATGATATGTATATTAATTAAAGATCAAGTAGATCTTGAAAGGCGCCCCTATTTTCTGAACCGTTGTCGGTCCAGAAACAATAAGTGGCGCCAAATTCAATGAAGGCGGAAGCCGCAACGTTCGCTGTCGTCGCTGCCAGCATATCTGGTATTTGTATACACGCTAGGACTTTGCGGCTAAAATCGTCGATTATGCCATAAATATACTGGCCACGAACACCCCTAAAATAATGAACATCTGCGTGCCAGATAAGATTGGGTGAAAGCGCCCAATATCTTACTGCTGTTTCTGGCCCGGCATGCTCTAATCGCGTCTTGGTGAAATGATTTTCTTTGAAGTATCTGCGTACTTCTCTATAAGATACATCAATTTGTTGTAATTTCAAACGTTTCCATTGTTTTGTTTGACCACAGGGAAAGGCCCAGTGGTCATGTATCACAGCAAGAGCTTTGATTTGGTCGTAGGGATTGACCCTACGACCTTTCTTGCCTTTAGGCAATGGGATATTCTGTAAGCTAAATTGATTTTGTAAAAAAGATTTTGAAACATCTAAATATTTGAAATCATTTGATTGAAGGGTTGGGGCGATGGGAACATGGGTGCAAGCTTCTTCCCATGTCATTTTACCTTCTTCAATCTGATTGGAAATACCAATTAGGTAAATTCGATCGACAAACCCTTTGTAAGGATTCATTCTAATGAAGTACGTTAACAATCAAAATATTCTATAAGTGTCTAGTATGGAATTCAAAAGAATAAAGAAAATGGTAACGTAAATAAACGTATTATGAAATAATTTATAATTAAAATGAAAAAAAGAAAAAATAATAAGTAAAGTGACTGGAAATGAACCTTGAATTAATTCAATCTGATCTCACAAAATATTTTAAATTACAAACTTTGTAGTTTGAATAGATAATTAGTATTAAACTCAAATAACTAGTTTCTTTTTGAATAGAAATTATTTGAGTGGGGGACAAACTCGCCCATTGTCACTTTTTCATTAACCTTAAACTTGTAATTTTCATTATTTTTAATTAACCTTATTTCTTTCCCAATTCCTGATTTATTTTATTCACTTACTATTAAAAGTCACATTTTAATAAAATATAATAATTTATTTATAGCATTTTTTACTATACTGTAATAAAAAATTAATTATAATAAATTAAATGTTTATTAAATCAAATGTTTTCTTTGCAATAATATTTTTAATGTTGAGTAAACAATGTTGGGATCAAGTGTATCATTTTTCAGACCTTTCTGAACAGCTTCAAGCATACTGATGCATTCAACTTTTTTAAATTGTGTCATTTCTTCGAAATCTCTTGTGACTTTTTTGATAACTTTAACACTTCTCTCTGAATCCAGACCTTTAATTTGCAACTTAATCAGGAATGAAGGAACAACACTGGAATATATAACTCGATGACAAGTTCATCGAGTCGAAGATTTGGTTGTAACCACTTGTATGTGCCGGATACCATTGTGTCAAATTTTTTCTGAAATTAACTTTAAAAGTACTAAGTAAGATCATGAGATATAGCAATATATGTTTAAACCAACTTATATTTTGGTTGTACACCACTTGTATGTGCCGGATACCATTGTGTCAAATTTTTTCTGAAATTAACTTTAAAAGTACTAAGTAAGATCATGAGATATAGCAATATATGTTTAAACCAACTTATATTTTGGTTGTACACCACTTGTATGTGCCGGAATACCATTGTGTCAAATTTTTTCTGAAATTAACTTTAAAAGTACTAAGTAAGATCATGAGATATAGCAATATATGTTTAAACCAACTTATATTTTGGTTGTACACCACTTGTATGTGCCGGATACCATTGTGTCAAATTTTTTCTGAAATTAACTTTAAAAGTACTAAGTAAGATCATTTATTTTTGCATAATATAATGCCAATATGGTTTCTTTTGATTTTATTTCATTTATAAGCAAATCAGATTTACCCAAAAACTCCACTCCATAAGCGTTCATTTGCTAAATTAAAAAGTGACAATGGGCTAGTCTGTCCCTTTCTCAAATTATTTGAATTTATTCAATTTTGTGAATTTTCCTTCAAAAATCAAGTTTAAATATCTTATTTGCCATATAATTATAAATACAATGAAACATATTCGAAATTGAAAAGAATGACTTTTTCTGTTCTTTCAATCATTCAATTTGAATTTTGCAATATTGTATTTCTCATTAAATAGCTATTAAAAACAACAAGCAATTTAACTTACATTCAAATTTATTTGTGTTATATTCAATCTTCTCAAAACTTATAATTTTCGGCTATAGCATGATTATATGCTATATAATATAATAAACCTATAATAGTATCATTCTTTCAATTATTTGAAGAGAAAACCGAAAAAATCTATTTTCGGTCTATAACAAATTCAATTTCTTATGAGGATGTTTTATTGTCGTCTGGAAAAAGTGACAAAATTATTATTGTCGTCTAAAAAGGTGACAAATTATTATTGTCGTCTGGAAAAGTGACAAAATTATCATTGTCGTCTAAAAAATAGATTTTTCAAGCATGTTTCGGTACCTAAATAAAGGAAGAACATCAATTCCATCTATGTATATAGTATGCAAACACGCATGATATATGGAGTAGCTCTTTATCTGGCTAAAAATCCTATTATTTGAAAATTCGCATTGTCGTCTAAAACCGCCAGACGACAATAATAATACCCCATTTCTTATTATCATTGCATTTTTTTTACTTGGATAATGAATTGTTTATAAACTTTATAGAAATAATATTAAAGATTTAATTCAAATCTTCTGATTTTTATATCTTTTTTTTTTATTAATCTTAAAGCAAAATGAATAGAACATTGTAAAATGATCTTTATGCCTGAATGTGTCAAGAAATTAATCAGATCTTCGAGTTTATTTAATAAAAAAATAAAAAATAAGGTATTTTGGGATTTTTTTGCATGTATCTTAATTCTGGAGATTTCTCAAATATAATAAGTACATTTAACTTATTATAAATATAAATATTTTTTTGAAATAATTATTTTTCCATCTAAAATACATAGGTGAGTCCTTAATGAACTTGTTTGATATTGTTTATGACAGTGTTTACAAAAATAGAATTTATAAAGAGTTTGATGGTATGAGATATTGTTCTCCAAATGTCAAAATAAAAACGGATTTGAGTTCTCAAATGATGAAAAAACCGGCGATCATACTTCGTTAAATCATCTGTTGTAAACAGAAATTCATCAAAAGTGACACCTCAGAAAAGCTAAAATATTGAATTTTTGGAACTTTTGATAGAGCACGTTTTTAAATATTAATTAAAGTAAATGTATATTTTGTAAAGATTCTTTTTAATAAAAAAAATAAAATTTTGAAGAAGAACACAAAATCTTCTGAAAAATAATATCACATAAACTCATATTATTTTCTAATATATAACTATTTTATATAAAAATCAAATTCAATGATCTTAAAAGCGAAGGATAAACCTCAAAATTTACGAATATAATGAGTGGGAATAAATGCTTATCTATCATAAAACCATATGAAATATCAATTTTTGCTTTACGCCTAATTTTTGACGACAATTAGCAAAAAATGTTAAATGTTAACACTCAGTCCATTTGAATATGAAAAATAAAATTGACTTTGATTAAATGTTTTATTTATCATGCAATTCTTCTTGCGACCAAAGATTTGAATAAAATTTCAAAAAATAAGATAGCTTAAAAAATAATATACGGTAGTGTTTACTAATAGATGAATAGTATATAAATTCTATTAAAATGGATTTGATTCAAAAAAATATAAAACCAAAAATAATTGTTATAATTTAAATGAAGAAGTAATTTAAAACGATTTTATTTATGATCAATTTTTATATATTTTTTGGATCAAATCCATTTTAATAGAATTTATATACTATTCATCTATTAGTAAACACTACCGTATATTATTTTTTAAGCTATCTTATTTTTTGAAATTTTATTCAAATCTTTGGTCGCAAGAAGAATTGCATGATAAATAAAAACATTTAATCAAAGTCAATTTTATTTTTCATATTCAAATGGACTGAGTGTTAACATTTAACATTTTTTGCTAATTGTCGTCAAAAATTAGGCGTAAAGTAAAAATTGATATTTCATATGGTTTTATGATAGATAAGCATTATATTCCCACTCATTATATTCGTAAATTTTGAGGTTTATCCTTCGCTTTTAAGATCATTGAATTTGATTTTTATATAAAATAGTTATATATTAGAAAAATAATATGAGTTTATGTGATATTATTTTTCAGAAGATTTCATTCTATATGCCTATGAAAAGTACTCTCAAAACTAACTTTTCCTAATTATAATTAAATCTAGAATATTGTATTATGCTTAGTATTATTTCATTTTTCTCATTCAATTTAGAATTTACAAATGTCAAAAAATTGAGAGCTGTCACTTTTGATGAATTTCTGTTTATTACACATCAATTTGATTTAACAAAAATTTTAACAAATATATAATTAGAATATTTACACGAAGTCTTGTAAAAACTCGGATCTTTAAGGGTGCACACGAGAGAATCATGTAAACTTCAGAATTTAGAACCTTATTTTTAGACATTATCTTGGCTACCTATTTAGGCTCGAAAAGCAAAAAATATCAAAAAATACAACTTGACTCCATTATGACCCTTTCATGGAGGTAGTTTTTATCCGCTAGTATTTTCCCTTTGAATCTCTTTACAATTCGAAATCAAATTCAAAACTCAGTAGAAGAAAGGAAGAATCGACTTACTACGGTTGTAATACGAATAAATACATATATTTAATTATTTTTATTTACATAATAATTGTTTGAAGCTCATATTCCATCAAATTTTTAAATAAAAACATTAAAATGTTGAAAATGTTCATATATTTTAATAGGGTTTTGGCACTTTATTAAGGAATTACTACATATAGTCGAACTGAACTTGATATTTTGAAATTTAAATTATTTATCAAAATTAAAATTTAACTTGAAATTTATAATTATTTAGTCATATTTTGCATAATTCTAAGTAGATTTTGTAAAAAATCAAGAAAGAAAAATTTTAACGTGCTTTATTTTTTCTTTTTTATAATAATACATATTATTATATAATTAACATATTCATAATGTTTCACCCTTTCAAAAATATAATCCTCCTCCTCTCAAATAAACGTACATACGGGTGGCCTCTTTTTTCAAAAAATTAAAATTTGAAATTTTGGGCTCAAATATTAGAGATTTTTTCAACCTTCAACGATATATGTTGTCTATATCAGACCTCCTTTCTTTTTGATACTTAACATTGTTCCTAAATCTTAGCCGTTAAGGCTGTTCTGAAAATATTTTTTTTTCGAAAAAATTCGAAAAAAATTCTTAAAATTCAAAAATCCCTTAATTCCCGAGGATTTTGGAAAAAAGTTTTTACATGAACATGTGTATATTATATGAAGTATATTGATAAGGTAAAAATCAAATTTTATTGCATATTCATCGAGAAAATAAACTAACGAATCCCTCAAAATTGAGAGGTAATCCTCCTCCTCTCAAATAAACGTACATACGGGTGCACCCTTAATCAAATGCAAAACCGTAATTTTCAATTCCTACAATTTTATTTTCGTTATGAGATTATGAAAAATTTCGTATTGTGGAATGATTGGAAAATTTTGTTTTGATCAGATATAATTTGAATTTGTCAGATATATCAATTCTTAAGTAACCATCATAGATCTATAATATTAAATATCGGTTCGATCGTCAGATTGTCAAATCAATTAATCGAATTAGAAAAATTTCGGTTATTAATTCTCAAAATCATATATCTAATCTCTGAGTTAAATACGTAATATTTTACTTTAACCGCTATTCACAATTTTTATTGAATGATCTCTATAATTCATCGTATAAATTAATGACAATATATAATTATAAACTATCACTTGATCTTACTGACAAATTTCGGTTTGACGTCAGATCTGAATCAAAAAAATGTTTGCTCTTCTTTTGGGCTGTGCTGTCTCTAGGCGCTCCTACAGACATCACATGATTCATTCTCCATATCATTATGCTGAAGCTAATGGCGCTGGCACAGGTGTCGTCTCTGCAGGCGGCGTCGGACTTAACATCAGAAGCGGACCAGGTACAAACAACCCAGTTATTGGCCCCGCAGCTGATGGCTCTACATTATCAGTTACAGGATACTCAAACAACTGGTGGCAAGTCAATTTCAACGGCAGAACAGGATATTGCTCTGCTGATTACTTAATCGTTAATGGTCAAGTCAATTCTAACATCGGTGTCAACATCCGTGCTGGTCCAGGCACAAACTACGGTCGTGTTGGTGGCCTCGGCAATGGCGCCGGCATCAAGATCAAGGGAATTTCCAGCAACTGGTTCAAGATTGACCAGGGTTGGGTTTGCGCAGACTACATCAACTTAGTTTCCGGACCAGCTCCAGGCCCAGCTCCAGGACCATCCGGTCAAGTTATCCGCCAAGGCGATCCAAGATTCAATGCCAACATCAGACGATGGGGCTGCGGTTTCATGTCACTCTGCTGGCTCGGTGGCGTCAACAGCATCGACGGATGCAACGCTAACTACAACAGAGCCATTGCTAATGGCTGGATGAGAAGCGATTGCTACATTCTCAGCTGGGAAGCCATCAAGCCACTCACAGGTGCCAGAACATACCGTTATGGTGGCCGTGGTGCAGGTGCTGCTGGCAATGAGAAGGAAATTCTCCAATGCCAGAATGCCAGAACATCAATGCACTTTGTCGTCGGCAACAAGGCTGGTGGTATCGAATACGATCCAGCTTACGTAGGCTCCGTCGCTTACAACGATCACGTTTCTAAGCGCTTCTACGGTTACTAAATCAATTAAAGTGGACAACTTCTCTGCTTCGCTACTATCTAGTAACATAACTTACCTTTTTAAAGTGAACAGATTGCGTATTTTTATTTAAGATTTTTTTTCCTGTGTTTTATGCTTTTATTAATAGTTTCAGATCACTAATTTGCGTCTAATTTATCAAGTTTCAGAGCGAAACTCGTTTTATGTTCAAAATTTCTTAATCATATCAAAAACGATATGTTTTTATGAGGGATATATTCCGTAATATTCAATTTGTATATATTCCTTATTCGTTTGTGCATTCCGCAACAACAAATATTAGTTTACGATCAATTCCTTCATCGTAAATTATATTTCATGCTTTCAGACTTATCTATTTATTTGTGACAATAAAATTTACCTATTTCTCGTAGCGAAATTATGAATTTTGCAAGAAATTGATTGTTTATCAAAGGATCTTAGATTTACAAGATATTTCGAGCAAGATCTACTGTTACAAGATCACTCTGCTGAAATGTTATATGCATTTGATTTACTTTATTTCAATATCAAAGATTTTTAAGGGTGCACCCGCATGTACGTTTATTTGAGAGGAGGAGGATTACCCTCTCAATTTTGAAAGCTTCGTTAACTTAATATCTCGATGAATATTGGATTAAAATTGAATTTGCCCATACCAATATATCTGATACAATATCCTTAAGTTTTACTAAAAAGAATTTTTTAAAATCCCTGCAGATTCGGGGATTTTTAAATTTTTTGATTTTTTTCGAAAATTTTTCGAAAAAAAAATATTTTCAGAAGAGCCCTAACGGCTAAGTTTTATGTTTAATGTTGAGTATCAAAAAGAATGGGCATCTGATATAGCCATCATATATCCCAGAAGAAAATAAAAATTCTGACTTTTTAAGCATAAAAAATGAAATTTTATTTTTTGCAAAAAACAGGCCACCCGGATGTACGTTTATTTGAGAGGGGGAGAATGAAATTTTTGAAAGCACTAAAATTTGTAAATATACTAGTTATATAATAATATGCATTATTTTAAAAAAATAAAAATTAAAGCACGTTAAAATCTTTTTTGATGAATTTTTACAAAAGCTACTCAGGATAATGCAAGATATGAGTAGTTAAACATAAATTTCAAATCAGATTTTACTTATAATAAATATTTTAAATTTCCGAAAATTAAGTTCAGATCGACTCTATACGTAGTAAATACTAAATAAGGTGCCAAAAACCTATTAAACAGTACCAAAACTATCAAGATTGTAATGTTTTTGAAGAAAAATTTATAGAATTATGGACTTCAAACAGATATTATGTAAATAAAAATAATATAATGAATTTATTTATTCGTATAATAGCAGTAATAAGTCGATTATTCACTTCTACTTCTGAGATTTGAATTTAATTTCGACAGAAAAAGAGATTCAAGAGGAAAATACTAGGGGATACAAACAGCCACCATGACAGAATTATTATGGAGCCAAGTTGTATTTTTTGATATTTTTAGAGTTTTCCTACCTATTTAGGTACCAAGTTATTGCTTAAAAATTAAGGTTCTTAATTCTAAAGTTTACATGATCCTCCCGGGCGCACCCTTAAAATCATTGAAAGTTTAGTGCTTTAATCAGTTTGTGATATTTTAGCTATTTAACAATAGAACTCAGGTCAGGTAAGTGGGGCTTCCAGGCGCGTTGCGCCCTCTAGCCCATAAGAAATTTTGCCCAAGACCCAAGAGGAGGACCGAACCCCAGCCGACCAGCCGGTGACAAAACCAAAACCGTTGTTATTTACATCATATTAATGGTGTCACTTTTTAAAATGTCACTTTTGTGTCACTTTTCACAAATTATATATGTTTTCATGTTTTGTCACTTTTCTATCACTTTTCGGGTAAAAACAGTTTTATTATTATATATAAATGAATTTTACAAAACCGCTGTTACCGTTCTTTGGAAATAAGAGTAGATGTAAAGATATTATATTGAGAGAACTTAAGAAACTACCGAATGGTCTAACATTTGTAGATTTGTTCGGCGGAAGTTTCTATATATCCCATTTATGTCATACCGTATTTCCTGACTCAAAGATTATATGCAATGACTTCGACAACTATATGGACCGTCTCAAACATATTCCAGACACAAATAATATATTGAAAGAGTTAAAAGAAAAGATACCTATAGGTAAGATGGAACGTATACCATTAGATAAGAAAAATATTGTGAGAGAGGTTTTGAAAAAAGCAGAATATATAGACTGGGATAGTATATCTGCTAGACTATTATATAGTGGTGCTATAAGAGTTCATGACATTGAAACACTTATGTCAAAAGTTTTATATCTTAACTATACAAATGTTTTCAAAGAGGACATAGAAAAATATATTGAGGGTATAGAGTTTGTGAGATGTCATTGGACAGAGTTGTATGAAAAATATAAAGACAAGGAAAATGTTTTCTTTATAGTGGACCCGCCGTTCTATAACACATGGGATTTTCAATACCAAGTAGACTGGACTTTGAGAGACTCTTTAGAAACTTTAGACGTTATACATAACCATCCATGCTTTTACTTTACATCCGATAAAAGTGGTTTGGAAACCGTTATGAGATGGTTAGAGGACATACATGACTATGAGTTTATATATGACAAGATAGAATATGAGAGAGGTCCTATAAACCGGAGAAAGTGTCACAATAAAGAAATTTTATTAGTAAGTAAATGTGGTTTGAAATAGGACTACTTGTTTTAGGTTTTTTCCATTGTGTCATTTATTTATTTGACGTGGCAGAAAAGTACAGAGAATATGAAGATGAACCAATGCCTGCAAATGTTCAGCATATGTACTCGTAAGAGATATTTTTATCTAATATTAAATGGACGCACAGAACTTAGCGAATGCACAGCAACCTGGACAACCAAACCCAGAGAATATTCCAAATGAAGTTAGAATACAAACTGCAATGGCAAACTATGGTCAAGTGCCAACAGATGTACAAATGCAAACTGCCATGTCAAATGACGCTGCGTTAGGTTTGCCACCATGGTATGCAAATATGAGATGGAAAGAGTTTTATACAAACCCTGAAGTGGGATATAAACAACTTTATGCAGATGACGCGAACACAGGAGTTGACCCAGAATATGTTTTCTACCAGAGGAGAAACAGAATGTATGAGCTCCAGTTAAAGAATGCTATGGAACTCAACAGGAAACGTAAGAGACTAGGCGGACATTAGATTTTTACATATAGTAAAATGGGTTTCTTCAGTAAGATAGGAAACTTCTTTCGAAATGTTGGAAGAGGTATATGGAATGGAATAAAATCTGTCGGAAGAGGAGTATGGAACAGTGTCAAAAATATTGGTAAAAGAGTAGGTCAGTTTGTTGGTATTATACCTAAAGACCCTGAACCAGAAGAACAAGCTCCTGTAATACAACAGCCTGAACCTGCACCACAGTCAAGTTGGCAACCACAACCGGTATATTAAAAAGTTATATTTTTATCGTTCGATAGTAGTTGTATATGAAACTAAGTTCTAAGTAAAACGCATGGTATAATGGAATTATTCTTTTTCTTCCATCTGTAGTAAACCATACTTGAAAGTCTGAAATACTTCCACTTGGTGGTTCGTATAACTTTGTATGTTTTTCGTAAAAGTCATTTGCCAAGCATAAGAAAGAGTTTTGGGCGCCAGAAAATGAAGCATGAACAATAATAGCATCTTGGTCGAAAACATCTTTAAATAAATATGGTTCATCTCTTGCATATCGACTGTAGATATTTGCTAAAGGAGGTTCAACTTTCTGATTTAACATTCTTTGCAAATAATACCATGACATTGCAGTGAATTCTGTATATATTTGTTCGTCTTTATTTGGATTGTCTTCGTAGATTTGAAATGACACTTGTGAATTTTGTTTGTCATATACAATTCTCACATAAAGTGTGCTATCGGTATTCGCATATTCATCAGCATATTTTGCATAACATGAATTTATTTTATCTTCTATATTTTTTAATGCAGTCTGTAGAGAAGATGAGAGGTCAACTTGTATTAGCTCAATTTCTTCCCACATTTTTCGTTGCCCTTCAGATGTATAATCTATATGAAACCTTACAATAAATGGGAAACCATGTATGGCTTCTGAAATGAACTTCATTCTACGAAAGCCAATAGCTTTTGTGACAGATGGGTCTCTTAACCATCTTAATGGGTAGTCAAAACGATAGCCTTCATGCTTTACGGTATCTATCTCAAACTTTTGACCGACATTAGTAAAAAGTTCATCTAATGGTTTAGTTGTAGCAACTCTAGAATTTTCTTTTTCTATTGGAAGCATATTTTATCTATAATAAAAATGTCAAATGAAACAGCGTCTATGAGAGAAATACAACACAACCGACAACTCATTATGCAAGCTCTAAATAAGAACACAACAAACTTTTCAAACTATTCTAAGATATCTGAGTCATTGAAAGAAGGAAACTTAAAACTGACAATAAACCCAATGACAGATGAGTTTCTATTTCAAGACAATAAGAACAATACTGTCTGTATAAATCCAACAAAAGGAACTTTAAACGAGAAACCTATAAATGAACTTCTTTTGAAAGCAGATGTTGACAACAAAGCTGACAAAGAATATGTAGACGATGCAATAGCAAAAGAAGAAGAAAGAGCTAACAATGCTTATGCAACAAAAGAACATACTCATCCTGAACTAGCAGACAAAACATATGTTGACAATAAAATGTCAAGTGAAGTGACAAGAGCTGAAAACGAATATTCTAAAAAGACTCATATACATTATATTAACCAAATACCAAGTCTTAAGGAAACATTAGAGACAAAAGCAGATAAGACTCATACACATTCTATATCTGATATTACAAACTTACAAGAAACCTTAAACAGGAAAAGTGACGTTGGACATACACATACCATTGCAAATATTACAAACTTACAAGAAACCTTAAACAGGAAAAGTGACGTTGGACATACACATAC